CCCCCAAATCCCAGCTCCAGCCCCCCCAAATCCCAGCCAACCTGCCAAGGCCACCACCCCAAGAAGCCCCCACCAGGCTGAGCCTCCACAACACCCCTGATCCCATCCCACCAGTTTCAAACCCCTGAGATCCCCCCAAAACCCCCCCAAACCAGTTCCAGTCCAGGCCTCATCTGGAGCAGGATGGTTTAATTCCCAGGTCCTGGGGTTGTCCCCATTCCTGGTGCCTCCAGGTGGTCTCAGCTGCCAGGAAACCAGCACAGAGGGGGTTCTCCAGCCCTTTTTCTCCTCAAGGTTCAACATTCCTGACCAGAATGATCCCATTTTCCCATCCCTGCTGCCACAGAACAGAAATGGAATTAATTAATTGCACAGAATTAATGAATCGACCCTGAAAGGACCCCAAAAAGCTTCAAAGTGGCTGCAAAAAATAATCAACTCTACTTCTTTGGGATCTTCAGCTCCATGGAAAGTCCAGTTCCCCCACCAAGAACCAGTTGGTTGGAAGCAAAGAGAGAAGCAGGTCCAGGAGGGCCTGGATTTTGGGGAAGGAACCCATGGACACCACCAGGCCAGAACCCAGAGCTTCCCACCAAAGTCAATTGGGATCCTTCTGCTTCCATGGTTCCTCCTGGAGATCCATCTCCAGGTCCTCAGGGGCTGCTCTGGGCTTTGGTGGAACCTCATGAGGAAGAGGAGGGCAAGGCTAGGAGGTCCTGGGCAGCTGTGGAGTTGGTGCTGCAGTCCACGTAGTGATGGGTCTCCAAGGTGCTCTGTGTCCCGTGGCCAAGGTAGGAGAGTTTCACTGAGGTCCTGGGGAGGGGAAAAGGAGCTTTGGTGGGGACAGGAGCTGGGGATGGGGCCAAAGGAAACGCCCTGAAGGTTTTAAGCTCGGCAGGAAATTCCCTCTGTCCCTGGAAAGCTGCAGGTTTGTGATGGAGGCAGGAAGGGGTGGGGAGGGTGGAGCTTGGAGAACCTGAGGGCCCGGCCTGGGGGGCAGAGAATCATCCTGGGATGGGTTGGAGGGACCTTCAAGATCATCTAGATCCACCCCTGCCTGGGCAGGGACACCTCCCACCAGCCCAGGCTGCTCCAAGCCCCACATCAGATACCTGGAACACTTCAGGGATGGGGCAGCACCTTGAAGATCATCTGGTGGGATCATCTGGGTGGGCTTGAAGGTCCTTCCAACCCAAACCATCCCAGGAGCTAAATTCTATGATTGTGGGTCTTGCATGATCACAATGGTGTGACAATGGAATCATGG